AAGCAATTTGTTGGAACATGAAGACCTTCAAATGTGTTTTCTGTTTGATCAAAGGCCTTAAAGAAACAAAACTGCTTCCTGTTATCATCTAGGTCATTACATTGGATGGCATTTGTGCATGTAGGACAGTTGCAGATCTTAATAGATTTATGGATCTAAACTCAAATTTATGGAACTAAATTATATGGATTTATGGAACTAAAATCAAATTAAATATGGATTTATGGAACTAAAATCAAATCAAAGTGTTGTTTACATTTTTGGGGTTGTACAACTTGTACATAGTAGAATACACTAGATGTTAAAGTTTCATTTACTTGGTTCCCTTTGTAAAAACAACACTACAACTTACATGCACCAACATCCGATTTGTTGCAAGTTGAAACCAGTTTTATTGCCCGATATATTTTACTCTGCCAACAAGTCTTAATAACTAAGGGGCTATTTACATGAGCCTGACTAGTCCTGTTAACCGAGGCACCCAGCTTAATACAAATCATTTAACAAGAATCTGCCTAGCCGAGATCTCACTTGAGTCAAAGGGGACGCCCGGATAACCGGGCTGGAATTTTCCCATGTAAAGTCACCAGCTCATGTAACCTGGCTAGCCAGGCCTTCAGCCTGGTTAACCGGGCCAGCCTGCATGGCTACCCGGGCTCATGTAAACAGCCCCTAAGGTGATAGCAACTACAATAATATACTTGGTGCTAAATGTAACATAAACTTGAGTAACAGAGAAAATTCTCATCTTCAGATTATTTTCCCCTCATTGTAGAGTAAACTGTTAATATGTATCTTAAAAACTAGAGTGTACATTAGAATCTTCTGACAGATTTATAATTTAAACTGTCATTAAGATAAATCAGGTCTTTTATTGTCTGTTTTGTAAATGAGGTGTCAGTTGTGACTTGACACACTTGTGATACCAAATTTGTAAAGTCACAGCTAAAGGATTTTAATAGGTTCAAGTCAATATATTATCCCTAAAATTTATTTTAGAAGAAGACGTAGGTCTAGCAATTTCTTTCGTATCGCAATATTATTTTATTATACGATTGCAGGCCAATATGCCAAGTTGAATTACACTGTATTGAATAGTTGATCACAGATTCACTGAAGGTCCGATCAACTGGATTTATTTCCTTCATTGTTCATGGCATTCACGTCCTTAATCTTTTTGTACACCATGAAATATCACCAACTTATCACTCAAAACATATTTTACGGCGATCAGACTAACCACACATAAGCTATATAACTTTATATGTTTATCACTATTCGCCAAAGACCGAGGTGAAATTAATCGATGTATGACAATGGCCAAATCCCACGCTTAAATTCGTTTCTCATCCTCGTAGTGACAATTAAATCAAAGAAAAACCTCTTCTTTATGATATTTCAAAGTATCATGAGTTTTGCTTGGATACATAAAAAGCTAGAGCACTTTTAGTGGCTCTATTTCGTATTCCGCCATATTAACTCCTATAAAATTTCCTCTGGTTTGGTTGCTTTCAACATGGCGGCCACACCGGAAGTCAGCTCACATTCTGGCACACTTTTTACCCTTGAGTGAACCTTCTGCCCTTATCTCTTCTGTGTCTGAGGTGAGCCTGCGATGAGCTAACGCAAACTCCATTTCTCGAGTACGGAAAAAACTAGGCCTTTCCCGATTGCGCTGGTAAAATCCTAAAAAAGTGCTGGCAAAAATGGCTAAAAAGTGTTCAAAAAGTGCTCAAAATCTCAAAATAGTGCTCAAAAAGTGCTAAAATTGTGAACAGTTACCTCTAAGATTTTCGTAATTTTTTTAAAATCACCATTTTTTTAAATCTGTTTCCACGTCCTTCTCCATATATGGAACAAACTTCCGTATATGGAGTTGTTTACGACAAAAAAAAGAGAACTTGAAAAAGTCAGCGTTCTAATTTTTTAACTGTAATTACTGTCATATGCAGCTGTACGGCTTTTCTTTTGGAGTTATACCTAAATTATATATAAAATAATAGTATAATACCCGTCAATTTTTAAACCTTACTCCGAACTGTATGTTTAGTTAACCGAAGTACGAATCGAATTCTATAATCGCTAACTTTTTGTTGCTCAAAATTCGCTCGAAATGTGAAATATTGCTCAAATGTTGCCCAAAGTGCGAAAAAGTGCTCAACGTTGCTCAAAATGCAAAATGGTGCTCCAAACAAAAAAAAGTGCTCAAAAAGTGCTCAGCGCAATCGGGAAAGGCCTAGAAAAAACAGAAAAAGAGGGATTTAAGACACTTGGCCTACAGGCCAGTGTAATAAAGTCTCTTGTCTCATCGAACTTGCATTTTAATTTTCGGCCGCTTATACGCTACAACTCGTCATGTTGTAATTATATTGTATCTATACATTGAAAGCGAAGTCTGCAGAAAGTGGATTCGTTTCAATTTTCTTCAAAATCTCTCAAAAACCCAATTCTACCCAGACGAAGCTATAATTTTCATAGTGTTTACATATCGAAAGGTCGCACTGTGTCATACTGCATACGTCACTGGCCGCGCGATGGAATGTCAGGAATTTCACCAGTAGATAGTCGAAAAAGCGAACTTTAATCGTAAAATTAACAAACTTCTGGTTCGAATTTTTTAACAAGGTTTGTATTTTTATGATCGGAAAAGACCAAATTTTCAGAAAATGCAAAAAACCCGATATCGAAATTTTCATTTCATATACACTTTAATACCTTCAAGACTAAATACTCAGAATTTACAAATAAATCTTTTCTTTGATATTTTTGAAAATGAGAACACTGATCGTAATGGGCAATTCCAGCTATAGACTAAAATTTTATCTAGGCAAGAAGAAAAAAATCCATCACCACATGAAATTCAACCAAATACGCCTAATGACACAACCTGTTATTCAAAAATTCAATGAGAACAGTTCAGGTCCATGCCGGCCCAATCTGTCCTGCTGAATCGACGGAATTGTGCCGATTATCACTAACCTGTGCTGATTGCGTGCTCGGGACATGGGCCCAATCATCACGACGCCATATTTGCATTTCGCATAATAAACCTTACCGATTATTCTCTTTTACCCAATGGCCTCGTTTTCATGTTAACTTATTTTAGCATGTCAGGGTAAAGATTATATTCCCATGTTTTCCTGGACGAATTTGTTTCTTGCTGTTCTTAGGCTCAATAACAAAGTAATTTTCAACCCTACTAAGCACAACACATGAGTAAGTATTTGACATGAAAACGAGGCCATTGGGTGAAAAGTGAATAAACGGTAAGGTCTACTGCAATCAAAAAGTACAAGTGAGAAAGAAAAACATGGAAAAAACATAGTTTCAGTGATGGAAAGCGTTTCACTGATTTTGTTTTACTGATTTTCAGACCATTGCAGATTTTGGTAATTTTTTGAATGCTTATTTAGTAATTGCCTTGCAAAATATCTGGTCACACTCAGTGGTCACTATGGGCGTCCAAAAGGGACAAAATTATGAACACACACACAAGTAATTCCAATGCTTGTAAACACTATGAAAGCTCACACATGTAATACGAAACGCTCACAAAAGACATTCGAACCACGCGCAAATAAGCCGAACCTCGCACACACAAGTCGAAATGTCACACACACAATACGAACCTCGCACACACAAGTCGAAATGTCACACACACAATACAAACCTCGCACACACAAGTCGAAATGTCACACACACAATACGAACCTCGCACACACAAGTCGAAATGTCACACACACAATACGAACCTCGCACACACAAGTCGAAATGTCACACACACAATACAAACCTCGCACACACAAGTCGAAATGTCACACACACAATACGAACCTGACCTCTCACACACAAGTCGAAATGTCGGGTTCGGCAAATTAGCATGTTAATTTACTTAGGACGAAAAAGTTGCATACATTTCTGCACTTTGTTTACGGCGGGAGAATAGAATGTTGCGATTTCCAGCGTTTTAACTACAAAGCACTCTTTTGGCTCGCGTGTTTGGCTTAGCATGGAAGAGGATAACTTGCATGTGACGG